TGAAGGTAAGATGTCGCTCGATCACGGAGAAAATCCAAAAACTTAAACGCTACGTGACTGTCGAAACAAGCCCGCGGGGCCATTTTGGATTTATGTGTGCGGGGTCATTGTCACGTGACCTCGATAAAATCGAACAATAACCTATCCGACTGAAGTTTGCCGCGTTTCCTAACCAGTCCCCTCTACCAACTATGCTATAATCAAGAAATGGATATATATTCTAGTCTTCTCGGATAAGGACGAATAAACCATAGGCCCCGTCTCCTGCAGGGTACCATGTCAGTAAATAATTAAAAAAAAATTAGTGAAATGTAACTATTGATAAACTGGTTAATGGTTCGGCTCATGACATAGTCACTTGAGATGTACATCCCTACGTGTCAAGTGACTACACAGCCTGAGACAAACGGTTAAACAGTTTATTACTACTTACCACCACAATGAGCAATAACCTATTTTTATCATAATAGTTTAAATTACAGCCAGATACCTTCAAATAACAACACCTCCCATCTCCTTTGATCTGACCATTTTGGTCTCTGTAGAGCTTTACCTTAGGTTTGTCTGAAAACATGATTGGAGTATTTATGTTATTATTGTTAAGTGCTCTAAAGATGTAAGGACGTTGTCAACAAAACACACTTTGAAATATAAACTCTCGCACAGTCTTTCTAATAGGCTGTTCACTGTGTCTTGTGGAAGTTACAAGCTACAAGTGACACTTTTGACAGTATGTGTGATTATTACAATCATGTTAAATGAAAAACTGGTCATACTTGTATTAAACAAGTATCAGGCTTACTTGTCTCAGGATCTTGCATAATGATACCATATTTGCTCATCATTTCAATAAATTCCTCTTCAGTAGTATCCTGTGGTAGTCCTAAACACAAAGAATCTCAAACTCACAAGAACATTCCCAGACAAAAAATAGAATGTGAATTACCACTTTTACTTCTAGCCTTTGACATATTCAGGGCTCGACACTGACAGTAGCCCATTAAGGCACAGACTAGTAGAAATTCAGTTTTGGCTGGTGGTTTTCAATTTCCACTAGCCAGTTTGGCTAGTAAACAAACTGAAATTGCCATAACATCTAAAAACATCTCAGACGTCACTAGCCACTTGGCTAGTAAGTTGAAAAGTTAGTGTCGAGCCCTGCATATTCATTGTTAACCCTTTTACTCCCATGAGTGACCAAGACAGAATTTCTCCTTACAATATCAATACAATATCAAGAAGACAAGTGATGAGAATCAAGAAAAATATAAACTGGCGGATAAGTAGTTGATCCAATGCTAAATTCTCCAAACTTATATCATAAGAATTGTATAGGAGACATTAAGAAGAATTACTGTTGAGATCTTGGGAGTGAAGGGTTAAATATTTAAATTACGAGACTGGAGCTATTAACTGCATAAAATTGTACATTTGTTATTCAAGGCAAGTCTGACTCACTGCAAAACAAAAATTATCAGCTGTGACAAATGATCATTAATCTGTTTACTAACACAACTGTTAGTCATGGTCTTTAAATAAGTGAGGAGAATTTGCTACCTTTCTATAATCATAGTTAGTAGAGGGGACTGGTTAGGAAACGCGGCAAACTTCAAAGGGCCAGCCTATTGTCTGTCCCCTGAGCTTCGCTTGAACGTCACGTGATCAATGACCCTGCACAGAACCAAAACAACATGGAGGACATGAACAACTTATTTTTCTTCGGCGACGATCTTGATGCCATATTGGAAACTTTGGAGAACGAGGAACAATACAAGGGCACTTTGTATAGGCAGCTGACTCTGTAAGTCTTTTAGAAGCCTTTATAACGTTATTTTCGCCCAAAAACTTTGGAGTTATTGATGCCCTTAGCAACGGCATCGGTCGTAGTACAACAACATATTTTTTTACTGAAAGTCTTTCGATTTTTAGGTTCAATACGAAGAGGAAATTGTTTGCTAGTTGTGTCAAAGTAAATGCAAGACTAAGGCTGGATTAAAGACATAAGACAATAAAGCATAAGGAGGAACAAGCGCGGGGAAATCAACCGACTCAAGTAGCCAAATTCACTGCTGAAGACTTCGAAGCGTTATCAATCAAAGCACGAGATAAAATAATTGCAAGAAAAATCTTCCCTCAAAGCATAAAAGAAGAGCTACGAAGATATACGAACTGGGATGAATAAAATATGGGCTTCTCAGAAGTAGAATCCATGTATATGCGTTAGGTTAAAACTGGAAATGCAGAACAATTCTACTCAAAGTACTATTCAAGAATAGGCCTCAATTCAACAAAGATTTTTGTGGGGTTGTCAAGTAATGAGGCAACATTGCTTAGTACCAAAGTGGCTGATTGTTTGATAGCTCACAGCAAACAGAAAGATGAATCACCAAATCCCAATATCCGTACTAAACTGTGTGATAGAGAAATGGCAGGGTTACAACATATTGGAGGATATTTTCTGCACAAGCTTTATAGCACGGTGAACAATGTATATAATCCCACAGCACATACTGAACAAACAGCTTCAATACTGAAAGCTGGTAAAGCAGAAGATTTGCATGTTGCAGGGAGTCGAAAACTAATTCATCTTTAAACTGAGGTGGACTTTGGGTTATTTCTAAACAAGCTCAAACAATTTTTAAGAGAATAGAATATAATTTTAGGATTCTGACCTCACGAAGTCTCCAGCAGAAGATTGACAATGCTAAGATAGAATCCAAATCAGCTTGCGATGTTCAATTGGTCTCAGCATATAACACTATGTTGTTGGACTCAGACATAGTGGTAGATAACAGCATTGCAAAAGATGTTTTGGACAGCATTATTCATTTATATGTTACTGTACGGTGTTTTTCACTGGCCAAAGATGTTATACAGAAACACAAAATTCAATGTAAACAAATGAAAACAAAAACACTACGAAAAGAAAATTTGTAGAGCCAGCAAAGAACAAGAAAGGCAGATATAGTTAGAATTAAGAGCCTGCAACAGTTTGTCAATAAGTAATTTATTACAAAAGATTAATTTGGTAGCTACAACCTGCAACATATTAAATAAACATATTAAATATTGCTCATTAATGATTATTTTATGGACAAAAATGAGTATAAATGCTATATGGTTAAAGTATCTAACATAGTAACTTATTTATTTTCAGCCAGTCTTCTCGCCACTTCTTGTATTCTGCGTTTCGCGGCGCCGGTAGCTTTCAGATTCCAATTCCTTTACTTCTACACGTTCCACAGCCAAACACTGAACAATTTTCACCTGGCATTATGTCCACTGACTTGATTAATGTTTTTAGCTATATTTTGAAGATAAGATGTTGCTCGATCACGGAGAAAATCCAAAAACTTAAACGCTACGTGACTGTCGAAACAAGCCCGCGGTGCCATTTTGGATTTATGTGTGCAGGGTCATTGTCACGTGACCTCGATAAAATCGAACAATAACCTATCCGACTGAAGTTTGCCGCGTTTCCTAACCAGTCCCCTCTACCAACTATGCTATAATCAAGAAATGGATATATATTCTAGTCTTCTCGGATAAGGACGAATAAACCATAGGCCCCGTCTCCTGCAGGGTTAGGGGTAGGAGACGTTAATTTCCCACGCACCAGATTACTGTGTGGTGGATGTCCTCCCCTTGGTGGGATGGGTGGGTGTTGGCCCTGAAAAGCCCCTATGGGGAGTGGTCAATAACCTATGTATGTATGTATGTATGTATGTATGTAACTGTTGTACTGGTAAATTTGTTAAAAACCAACACAAATTTTGTATCCCATAATAACAATGAATGAACACTAAAAGAAATATGACTATGCTTAATTGCATATGTCAACTGAAGTATTAGTAAACTCACCAGACACATAGACATTTGGATTTTTGCTACCCTCAACTTCAAACCAACCTAAACAGGTGATAAAATTTAAAAAGAGAGGTTAATCAGCAAACATTGAACCAACCAGAATAACAGAGATTTACATGTACTTTGCATATGTTAACTTTCATTACTAATTTAAAAGATTCAAAATAAGAATATAGATAAAAACAAGGTTTTTCTACCTTCATCTGCTTTCCTCTTCTTTTTCTTTGATTCTGATCCCTGATCATCTTCTTTCTCTCTTTTTTGATCCTTGTATACAGAAAATGATGAATTGATCTACAATGTACTGGCAATTTTTCTTTCCATCCCTCTTCTTATCTCAGCAATGGATAGCGATGGCTTCCACACAATTTTATCAACTTGATTTGTTAGAGAGGGGGAATGTAGAAGGTCAATCAGTCGATCAGTCGGTTGGTCAGTCAGTCAGTCAGTCAGTTAGACAACCAGACGAACAGTCAGACAGACAAATACCACTATAGTGGTATTTGTATAAACAGTACCAAGAACATGAAATGATTTTAAAACCAAAGGCTCCCTAACAGAACTAGAGTAATAAATCAGCTTTTAGATGGAAAATGTTCCATGCAGATGGTGAACATGTAGTCCCATATCAATCCCCATTCCATTGAAAATTTTGGAAAGCATTGTCACCTTCAGGTATTGAAGCAAGCAAGATCTATTCTGGTATACGAGTAGCATAACATCACTGCAGGTACTGCAATGAGCAAGGAATACATTTCCTGAAGTTCCAAGTCGATCAAAAGGTCATTTCTACTACAACATCAGAAACTGAAAGGTTAAGAATGAATTTAATATACCTGGCTTTGCAAAGTCCGTGGTAGATTTGCACCAGCTGTTGGAATATCACTACTCATTGTAACAGCTTGTTCACCATCAGGTGTGAAGCCATAGTTCATTTGATATGAAGCAAGAAAATCTTCATCTACCTGAAATTGCATTGTTAATCATATTAAAAAAAAGATTAGCACTTACTATGTATGGAATGACAGACCTGTTGAAGAATATTCCATTCACTCACAAGGTATCAGATAGACATTTAAAGCCTTGCTTGGCCACCCCTCCAAAAATGCTCCCTTAAATCACAGATTTTCATTAAATTGATTTTCAGGCTACCTTAACCGTGAATTCAAACTCTAGTAAATGAATTTCAAATCAAATCTCCATGCATGGAGAATGATTTTGATTCGTGATGAAAAATAGGTCAACATTTCCGGACAGCCTCATCCTTCATTACACTTACAGTTCTTAAATCAAAAAAGGCTATGACGAAAGCTATAGATTGCCTTTGGCACTACGGTTTTCAGTTGTTTTAGTGTTATACGGACATTTTTCCGGCCAAAGTTGCCTTTGAATAATATTTAGCTCAATAACAAAGGAGGGCCCTTGAATGTCGACAGTTATCCTGCCTTTGGCCAACAACAGATCAAACTTATAAAATCATTGAAGAATGCAAACAACATCAAATTTTTAAAAACCTTAGGAAACCATCCTTGTTTTTCCCTGTCCCATTCATAAACTGTTCCATCCGTTGGATCAACGTATGTTTGACGTTCCTCCACAACTTCTGGAACGCTGCTTTTAGCTTTCTCTCTGAGCTCTTCGAGAAATTCTTTGGAACTGTAACTACTCATTATGGTGTACTTTGGGATTTTATACCAAAATTAATCGAATTTTAAAAAGGCTTCAGCGTATCGATAAATATTTTGCACCCTAAGTACCGGAGTACGATTTCGTGCTTGTAAGGCTGCAGATTTGATGTCATGTCTGCAACATTGAATTGTCTTCATTATACTCAACTAAGAGGCCTGGCAGCAAAGCTGGCAATACGACGTCAGGCAAAAAATACAGGACATTTCCCATGAAGATACATAACATACCCAAAATCAAACAAATGACAAGACAAAAAACATCTCTCTCTATTTCTTTACCGAGCTCGACCGTGTTTGGCCATGTCGGAAAAGATCTCCAAAACTTAGAGAACAGGAGTATACTAATAATAATAATAATAATAATAATAATAATAATAATAATAATAATAATTATAATAATAATAATAATAATAATAATAATATATCGATTTCTATAGCGTATTTCCATGTAAATGCTCCAATGCGCTTTACAACACTGTGCGGGGGACTTTTCCAGACTGCCGGCGGCAGTTTA